CCCCTCCCTGTCCCATTGCACCCCTCAAGGAAAGGATGCAGAGATTGGGAAAGGACGGAGGGTTCAAGCTCTCCCTGCCTGAGACCCAGCAGGTACCAGGTGATGCCATCAGTGACCCCACTGGTCCCCAACTAATGACTCCTGCAGAGGGGCAACACTTCTCCAAGGGAGCATAAGTAGAGGAACTGGCTCCAGAGGTGCCCAAAGAAAGGCTGGATGAGGCAGTGGGGGGCCCTGATGCACGTGGTCTTACCCCTAAAGCATTCACTCAGCCCCATCCCCACAGACAGTTCTGGTGTGACCCTCTTTGGCTTCAGTCCACTGCCAGCTCGTCCCTGCCATCCTGGCACACAAAACCCTTTGGGGCCACAGTGTTCCCCTTAACCCACATCCCTCCTCCTCCTTTCCGCCTCCATCCGCAGCGCAAGCCCTGCTGGAAGCACGAGGCAGGGATTAGGGTGGTACTAATGTGGGAGCCCCGCAGCCACCTCTCCCAGGCATGAGGACAGCCAGCAGAAACCTTAAATCAAATGCAGCTAAGTACAATTGCAAAGCTGCAGGCACAGGCCTGAGAGAGCATTAAGCAGCATTATCATGGCTCGGTGTACTGCCAGTAGTGACATTACCGCAACTTAAAATGTTTGGGATCAGAATTGCAGAATCTATTCTTTTCTGTGGGTTTTGCCTGGGCTGCTTTTCCATTTTTCTGCAGAAAATATCTGTTTGGCTCAGACAACCTTACACACTTTGCTGTTCAGCTCTTGGGGGGCTTTTCTTGACTCCCTGCTCCCCATCGTATTTCAAGCACAAATGGATGCATTATCACTGCAGCATCCTGAAGGAGCATCCATGCTGAGTTCAAGCATCTTCCTTTACCTGTCCTCACGGCCAGTTTGCCTTTATTCACTGCCTTTTCCTTTTTTCCTCCAGTTTCCCTTTCTGAAGTTGAATGACACTGCACTAATCTGTAGCCTGACTCCTCCTGAGACTACTGAGCTTAATTATATTTTCTCATCATTGGTGAATGGCTCAGCTATAATTACGCCTGGAAGTGTGTTACTTAGGACTAACCTGAAAGCAGCATCCCCTCTGGGGTGCTAGGTCATTGGCTGCTCTGGGGTGCTGTTATTTAAGATGCTGAACAGCAGGGCACCGGGAAGCTTGTGCTAAGTGCTTGCTAAATGCCACCCATGTTTGGGACTCACAACCCTAGCTCCGGTGATTGCACTACCTCTCACACATAATGCAGCCACTAATAACAAAACCTTGAACTATGGTAGCAGAAGGAAAACCTGGAGAGAATTAGAGTCTGTCTGCTCTGCATTGAAACTATCATCATCTGCTGCTGAGGGCTGGAGTCGGTCCTCAGGTCTCCCCTGTGCTCCACATGCATCTATCCTCCATGGCTGGTGGCTGTGCTGAAAGCCAAGGGGTCAGGATGGGCTTTCTGGCCCACCACTCTTGCCTGGATATTACATTTTAGTTGACCATGACATACGAGTGCCTATGGACAACTTGTCTTAGGTATCAATGTTAGCACTAAGGAGATGAGAGCCAGCATCTCCAGTGCACCCTTCATCCTTCCAGGGTAGCAGCAGAAAGAGTGGTGGCTCCTGGCTGATATGAGAGTGAATTAAGCACTCCACAGCACAAAAAGGACACTTTGAACCCTCATTTTAGACAGGCTCATAAAGGTCTTCCCCCTTGGCTCCCTTGGAAAACCCACAGTTGATCTCAATGGTAGTTTTCCAGACCTGATTCACAGCCCTTCTCGTCCATTCACTTTATGAGAATTACTTCACAGCGAATTAGACATAAAAGAGGAAAGAAACTGTTCTTTAATTTCAATTGCATCAAAGAAAATTTAGAAGCATCATCTACCAAACCTAAAAACTATTCCCTAAATGAGCTTATTTTTCCTGTGTCACATTGTACCCTGTTCAGATTGAAACAACTTTAAGAATCCAATCTACTTTCCATAGTGTACTGGAGACTTCTCCAGTACACTGTGTTTTTAGCCTACTTTCCTCAGGAAATGGGGCTTACTTATGTGATTGTGCTGTTTATATATCTATATGCCATCACTCCCACACTAATAACTTTTGAGCGTGTTGGCCAATTCCAACCAAATCTGACAGAGCAGTAGAGTTTTCAAAAATACTGAAATCTTACGAATTTAATGAAATATGTGGGTGGGCACACATTTTCCCCCACCAAGGGAAAGGCTGCACAGTGAACTCAGCCTTAGTATTAGACAGAAAAGAATACACACACATGCACGCACATACACAGACACACACCCAGTGCTGTTATGAAATCCCCAGGTGTTGGTAAGCCAGAGCTCATGCTGGTATGAGACAAGGAATATTGTACCTCTAAGCCACGAAGCCATCAAAGCAAGCATCAGGGCTCCTCCACCAATGCACCCACTGCCTACGTTGTGCATTTCTTTCCATTTGGACCATGCAGCTTGGTGTGGGCACTGCAGGGGAGTGTTTATCCATTTAGAAGCTTTAAAGTTAACCAGACTGATGATATGGAAGCCTTTCTACCTGGTTCTAGGTTTGTAAAAGCTTGCTCTCTTGTGGCTCTGCATGCTGAGAACTACAAAAGCCTTCACAAAAGGGAAGAGCTTGAGCTGAAGGATGATAGGTTTCAGACTGGCACATTGAGATGCTTGGGCCTCTCCTGCACGAAGCCAAATTGCACACCTGAGGCACTATTTAACACCTCTTGGCTGAGCCTGTTCACCCACCTAACCCCACACGTGTCTCCAGCAAAGCCTAAATCCTTCAGTTCTTCCTGGTTTGTATTAGGATGTTTTGGCTCTCTGTTGATAGGATTTGGGGCCCCACCATAAAAAACAGCAGCTAAAGTTCCCTGAACAGCTGTCATCCATGATTGGTAACCCAGCACTAATGCACAGTGCACATCACATTGGAGTCTGTGCAGCAGATCAATAAAGGGCTTTCCAACACACCAGCAGCCTTCAGGCACTGGAGGCAATGGCAGTGCCATAAAAAGAGCCAAGCCCTGGGTTCCCAGAGCTTGCTTTCTTCCATGTGCATCTAGTAAAGGACAACTAGTTAAGACCAAACAATGGGCTGCAGGGTGGAGATGTCAGGTTGCTGGTGGGACCAGGTTAGTCTCTGACAGTATCCTCAAAGCAGTGCCCTCCCATTCATTTATTTCTTTGCATCTTCACTGATGACTGAAGGAGTCCTCTGTGACCCCCCAGTCCCACAGGTTTTCTCTTCCTCCATGCACACGTGTGATTACAGGATGCATCCTCCCTCCCAGCACTGCTGTTGCTGTCCAGCAGAGCTCAGGACCATCTTATCCCACCCAGTGCAGAGGAGGAAGGCACTCGTGCTCTGCATTCCTATCTGATTTGATGTTTTCCATTGTCTCTCATAAGCCCAGAGCTCATTAAGCATTTCCAACATGGGGAGGGGCCATACCTCTGCCAACTCCCACCCTCGTGTTTTTCCAGGACCATTACCACCTAGGGACAGAGGATGCTTGGGTTCTTAGACCTGGCATCCCACAGCAGACTAGAGCTCCACACTTCCAGGACTGCAGGAATGCCTTTGTACTGAGGCATTCACATCCCCAGATGACAGAGAAAGATCTGGGCTTTCCGCTGCTCTGCAGTCTGTTTCCTACCTGACAATCTGGTGGGATTTCTTTTCTTTTCCAAAGCTTTGACAACAGTTTGGTACAACATCAGCTCAAAAACATCATCAAGCCCAAATACGCTCCCAAAGCAGGCCTGGGAGTCTCATTTATATTGCAGATAAGTCATCGGTAGATGTGCTGATAAAGATTCCAAGTGTGACTCTGCATACAAATGATTCAGACTAATCCAGCACAGGAGACTGAAGAGGTACCTGGGTTTTTCCCTGAACCCCAGACCGTTTTCCTCAGCCTGGCTGCTGTATGTAGCATTTGCTCATAAACCAGAGAGGAATGACCATGCTCTAATAAACCATCTCCAAAGAGCCCTGAATTTGACAGAGGAGCCTTTTCTCCTCAGCTCACCTCTTGTTAGGAGCTACTGTAAGTCATGAAGTGCCAGGTGCCAGCTAGAAGGTGCTTTAGTTGTCCCTGCTTTGAGCTAGGAGTTGGACCCTATTTCAACCTAAATCAGACATTACTCCTATCCCCCTGCTCCCCCCTTCTTTCAGATACATCAGGTCCTTGCCCTGAATCACTGAGCAGTTCCATGATGGCTACAGCCAGCCCAGGGAGTAAGGGGTTTCTTGGGGCCAGTAGGGATTATTTGGGTACCCAGAGCTGCTTCTTTCTAGCAGAGCGTCAGGGAGGGCAAACCCTCCCCAAGCATCAGCTGCAGCCAGTGATTTGACTGCTTTTCCACTCAAAACCTCTTTTGGGAACAGAAATAGCTGGGAATCCTCACAGCACAGGCCAGCCCTGGGATGGCTCCTCTTGGCTATAAGTCAGACAGAGGATATAGGCAAACATCATCTCAGGAGCAATTCTGCTAAGGGTATCATCCTGCTTATTGAAGAGGCTAGGGAGAAATGGGGTAAATCACCCAGAAGCCCCTAAGTGACAGCTATCAGCTTGTGAGCCCCACATTGTCACCCACAAGTGCATGGCGCAATCACCCCTTGCACAGTGCTGTACCATTCTGGGTGACACTGCATGGCTGGGTTGCGAACACTCTGCATCCACATCCCACTTGGAATTAGCAGGAGAACAAATCAGCTCGTATCCACCTCAGTTTGAACATCATCCATGAGACCTGGACTAGTCCAGAAGCATGGCTTTCCAGGATGCTGAACACTCCCACTCTGTGGTCCAGCCAGTACCACAACATTTGCCTGCCTCCTTCCCTAAAAGCCTGCCAGCTTCCCTAAAACAACCCACCAGGCACCTACTACTGCAAAAAGTCTATTCCCACTTTTCCCATCAAACCGCAGCCACTGGGGCTTGACCCTTGCTCAGACACCACACTGGGATGGGGACCACCTTACCTGGATGCTGCAATCTCTGCTTTCTGCTTGGCGATGGTGGCCGCCCTCTCAGCAGCCTCGACGGCCCGATCCACCTTCTCACGGATCTTGCTGGCCCGCAGCGGGATGAGGTTCTTCCTCTTGCCGCTGACCAGGATGTTCTGCTTGTACTTGCCCTCCTCCTTGGTGCCGTCAGGGAAGGTCATGCAGCCGTAGCCATGGCGCTTGTTGTTGGCCCATTCTCCCTCGTACTTCAGCCCATCCGAGCGCTGGCTCACCCCGAAGCCCGACCGCTTGTCGTTCTTCCACTCGCCGACGTAGATCTCAGTGGTGGTGGCATCGATGTCGTCTTCGATGACGGAGAGCTCGGCTTCGCCCTCACCCAGGCTGATGGTGGAGTTGATGTCACTGGCGGTGGAGCTCACCGTGCTCATTCCGGCTTCGCTCCGGAAAGAGCTCTGCTTGCTCCGCTGGCTGGCCAAGGAGCTCTTGGACTCGGACTTACGGAGCTTGAGCCCGCTCAGCAGCGACCGCCGGAAGATGCCCTTCTTCTTGCTCTTGAGGATCTCGGCATCGCTGTGGGCCATGAGGACGAAGCCACCCCTGGAGACGGCAGGGCTGCCGGCCACCGCCGGCGAGGAGTCGGGGTGCAGCGCCGTGCCGTTGGTGTGCTCGCTGCGCAGGGAGTTGATGGACGTCCTCAGGGGTGACCTGATAACCGCAGCCATGCCGTAGGGAACGCTCTGCCGGACGCCGTAACCCTGGCGCATCCCTCCGACCCACTGGCCCTGGTATGTCCCTAGGAAGAGGAGACAAAAGCAAACAAAGGCTTCATGGCATGGCATCCTGTGGAACGCTAACGGCATCAAACCGTTCTGCAAGCCCTTGGTTAGCGGGAGCAATAAAGAGCAGCTCTGGATCCCAGTCCCATCTCTGTGACAAGGATTGCAATGTCATATTGTGGGAGGGCAAAAGATCTTGGTTGGATTGCAGGCTTGCACTCCAGCTGAAGCATGGAAATATTAGGAACCAGCCAAGGCATCACCAATCAGGGAGCGATGCTTCGAGGAACTGACCCTAATTTGAAAGGGAAGAGAGTGGGGATTTGGGGTAAGGGAATCGTTATCCGGAAGCAGACTCCGTCCCTATCAATGCTGCCGGCAGTGATCAAAGCGGATGGTACATTACAATGCATTTACTTATATACATAGCGCCTTTCATCTGGCATGTAGCAGAAGGGAGCTGCTCTATAGAAATAAAGGCCTCATGGGGAGAGATCCATTTGGTTATTCTCTTTGGAAATGTGCCCCTGTTTGAACTCCTGCATTTGTGTGGGCACTTACTGGAGTTGCTTAACTGGTCATTAATGGGTTGAAACACACAGGAGACCTCACTACAACACTGTGAATGGAGGCACAAGAAACCCACCCAGCCCAAGGAAGCACAACCAGAGTGTAATGCCTGCCCCATACACTGAAGTGCGTGGTGCCAATCTTCCCTAGGGTTTATAATCCCTTCGCCTCCTGGAGCTCAGCGACTGGCACACTTTCACATCCTATCCCAGCTGGTTGAACTGTGTGGCTTGGTTTTATTCCTAGGACTGCTTAATCTGTTCTGGACTAGCTCAAGGCACAGTGCTGGGAGGTGTCCCTGCCCACAGTGGGGGGGATTGGAACTGGATGATCTCAAGGTCCTTTCCAACCCAAATCAGTCTGTGAACCTATGATTCACTGCCTGCCTAAGCCCTTGCAGATGGATGAGCCCAGGAACAGCTCCTCGCCTGGCATTGGTGCTGCTGCTGGGATGCTGTGGCTGTTCCTAGCCCTTAGATGCCCTCCTGATTCCCAGTCCCGGCCGGTAATGCTGGGAGAGGCACAGGCAGCACCTCACAGCACCTCACAGCATCCCTTCATGCCAGCCCTGCTCCTGCACACCAAAGGAATCTAAAAATAGATGAGCTGATAGGGTGAACCCTTTGTGAATCCAACCAAAACAGCCCAGATGAAACCAACCCAATGACTATCACCGGCTCAGACTGATAAAGGCTTCCTGTCCCCTCTCCACACAAGATGCTCTTTGTCCTTAGCAATCAGAGTAAGCAATCCGACATGAGCAACCCCTTGGTTCCACCTCAGACAGCTCTTTTGGCTGCAAAGATATTGTTCCCTAAGATCCAGCCGCTTTGCTGGAGTGTTTCCTTCTCAACATTTCCCAACAGCCCAGCAGAAAGAACGATTAAAACAGGCTGTGCTGCCCATGCGCACCCCCAGTTCAGATGAACCCCTTTCTCACTACAAGGAGTGATTCCAACCCTACAGATACACATCCTTTTGCTCCTCTTCATTCCTCCTCCTCTTGATCCCACCTCCAGGGCTCCCTTAGGGTGGGGATGGGTACAGGCTGGAGCGGCTCACCCTAGGCACAGAAAGTGAACCAGCTCCCAGGCACATTTGCACAGATCCCCTGGAGCTCGGGCATCCTTCCCAGTGCTCCGATGCAAGCAGTGCCCCTGAATTGCTCTGTTATCTGGGTGACAGCCTTGTGCACCCCAAAACAATGCCAGCCCCAAGCTGAGGAAAAGACTTTCTTGGAGAACAGGGCCAGGTGGGCAGGATTTACTGAGGGTTTATAGGATTAGAACCAGGGAGGGAGGCAGAGCACCAGGATTATGGAAGGCACTGGCAGGGCAGGGTGAGGAGGTGGTGGCAGTTCCTGCAGGGAGAGGGATGGGGGACAATACGGATGGCAAACAGCTCAGAGGAGACATCAGACATGTCCTGTGGTTGGGTTTGGGCAGTGAGCCTTGCTCGCCCTGCTGCAGTCCACTTTGGGGTCCCCAAGAGCATGCAACAACCATTGCTGTGCCCCCATGGCTCTCCCCATGCCCAATGTCACATTGAAATGGTCTCTGTGGAAGGGGAGACACCATCGGGCTCTCCATCCATCCCCTGCAGACCTGGCACTGTGTCACTCCCCTTCCTGGTTCCTTCCCAAAGCATCTGGGGAGCAACGGGCAGCAGATGGGTGAGAGACATTTCACCCAGTGCTCCGAGCACCCCTGCTAAGGGAGCCCAAAAGATGGTTGTGATGCCCTCACACCATGCTCAGCCTCCTGTTTCCCTTAGAGATGGATTCAAAGGGTTTCAGGGAGAGGTGCCCCTGTGGGCAAGAGGACAGGGAGAAAAGGTCCTGCAAGAGATCTGTCAGAGCTCTGCCCTGCCTATGCCCTGGATTCCCTTTCCCTTCGATGGTCCCTTGACCTCCCTGTCCCCAGCAAACCTACAGCTGATGAAAACCCCACCGGATTAAACCAAAGCACTGCAAGGCAGACACAGCCCTTCACTGAAAACCAGAGGCAGCAGCAAAGAGCAGAACAAAGCGCTGTTGGAGCAAGCGTGATAGCGCATCTCAGCCGGAGAGAGGCAGCAAATTGGCCACAGCAGGTTACAGCTGCAGTGTATCTCCAGCAAGGCAGAGGTGCCTGGGAAGCTGTCAGCTTTGCATGGCCTTAAAACCTGCTCCTAGAATTGCACAGGTGCCATCTACATCTCCTTGGTAAAGCCAATTTTAGTAAGCAAAGGATGTAAGGGCTTGAGGAGCCACTCCATCCATCCAGTCCATCCTGATTCTCCCCTCCTGGCATCATGGAGCAGCCCCCATTAGAGAGCAAAACCCAAACCCAAAGTCTGCTTTCGTGGGTGGTATTGCCCTCCTGATTGCTTCCCTGCTGGAGGCAGCATCATGGATTACCTCTGAGGATTGCCTAGGGGGATCCCAATGGCCACCAAGACATCTGGACAACTTCATAGTCACCAGCAGATCAAAAAGCTTCCTTCCAGGTAGCTGATTTCATCCATACTTTCTCACCCAAACAGCACTCCTTCCTCCATCTGACTTCATCATGTTTCAAATCCCTAAATATCCCAGGATTTGGACATGAATACTGGAAGGTCTCAGAGCCATTTGATCTGCATTGCTGAGCACTGCCACCTCCTCCCCTCGCACTGCTCAGTTTAACCTCTGCCCCCTAACATTTGCAGATATATGCACAAAGCTTAATCTCACAAGGAGCTGGGAGACTCTTTCTCCCTTCAGAGGAGACAGAGGTTTATGATTTTCCACTTTACGTGCCAGGATGGAGCAGCTATAGCCATTTCATTGCTCAGGAGGTGAAAAGGGAGCAGACAATGGGAAGCCTGTGTGGTGGGGACCATAGGATGGGGTTGGGTGCAACAGGATGAACACATCTGATGCGAAAGGTCCCCAGGTTGATCTGCTGAGGTGCTGAGCTGAGGTCCTCAAGGACTTCAGTGCAAAGAGAGAGCTGAGCACCTCCCAGGGTATGGGCAGAAAAGCAGATGCCCTCTTTCAACTGTGTGCAAGGTGGGAACGTGCCTCCATTGGGATGGGAAGCAGGGAGCAAGCCAACACTACCACAATCATGGCCACAAGCTGATTGCATTGCCCAAGCCAGGGCCCTATGGAAAAGTGGCAAAACCACTGTGATAGAGGATAATTTCTGGGGTATAAAATGCACCAACTTCTTCTCCCCAGCCATGCAGGTCACTCCCATGGCTGCCTCCAAGATGCCACAAATACCCATCCCACCTCTATGAGGCTCTTTTACACTGAGCAAAAAGGACAAAGAGCATCCAAGAAAGTCTTGGACATGGAAAGGAAACCCTCCTGAGGCAGGTAATTTGTGACTTCGTATGGTAATACAACCAATGCAACAGCTCCTTCCGTACTATCAATACTTGCAAAACGCTTTACGAAGCATTAATTGCTTGAGATCAATGGAGTGATTGTGTAAGGGAAAATGCAACACCCGTTACGTGGTCAGGGCAGCATCATACAGACAGCTAGTGGTAGGGCTAGATGGAAGTGTGGAGTATAGGAGAGCACTGGGTAGCCAAGCCAGTAAATCTCCATCACCACCATGATCCTGCTGAAAAGAGGGCCTGATCCTGCCCTGGGAATGGGATTTTGCAGCAAAATCAGAGCCCAGAGAATGAGCAGGTTGAGTTCTTGCTTGCCATAGATTCACAGGCAGGAATTCTTGATTCCTGGTGTAATCACTCCAGCATGATGTAGGCAAGGTAAAGGTAATGTCAAGAATGGTGGGGATGTAGCCACACACAGAGATAAGGAGAGGGAATAACCTGAGGCTACGAGAAAGTAACCGAGAGTATTCACCTTTTGGAAACAGCGGATGGAATGTGAGAAAGGGAACAGGCTTGCAGGAAATATGGGGAAGGTTGGGATGGGATAGGAACCTGGGGAAAAGAGAATGGGCAATGCAGTTGTTGGCTACTTTTGCTTGTGTTCTTAAGCCTGAGTTTTGGAGGTTCTTGGCTTGCTCCCCTTTGGAACAAGGTTGGGATGTTTCCAAATGGCTTTTTAAGCTCCTGCAGGAATTTCTGTTTCCCAGAAGTCCATGCAGAGTCCCATTCTTGGCTGGAGCCACGCAGGCTGAAAGCAGAAAGCGGGAATTCACTGGCCTCCGAAGCATCATTCCTGATTCTCCAGCAGAAGATCATACGTTTGGAGAAATGACAACCACCAGAAAGTGATCTAATTCATTGCAGCTCCTCAGTGCTTTCTCAGCATTTGGCTCAGGAGGCTAAGATTCATTCTGGGAAGAGAGCAGAGACTCTGCAGGGCTGCTCCTGTTGTCCCCATAATGCCAAACCCCCTGAAATCGGCGTTTGCCTTGGTTGCCCCTTGGAGAAACAGGGAATCGTGCAAAGCTGGTGGCGAGGTGGCTGGGTTCAACCCCTGCGCCTCATGTTCCCTGCT